TTAACGACTAAAATCCCATACACTGACTTTAAGGAGATTATTAAATATATTCAAAAGAAATGGCAACGGTGCTGGAAGGATAACTCACACAATAAGCTCTTCGCAATTCAACCAAAACTAGGAGAATGGAAGTCGGCATTCAGAAAATCTTGAAAGGAAGTAGTAGTGGTTGTGGCCTGCTTACGTATTGGCCACACGAGAATAATCCACTTGTACTTGCTAAACAACGAAGATCAACCAGTATGCCAAACATACACTATTAAACACATATTAACCAATTTTTCAAATCTTACTCTCTCAAGACAAAAATCCTATAATATAAATAACATGTATGAGAAAACAACAATGGGTGACATAATATCATTTCTTAAAAAAGGGGGCCTCTACAAAAAATATAAACCAAATTAAAATGTCAATAAAATCTGTTTTTCTACAAAGTGTATATCCGAAAAGAATACCCGAATGAAACCACTCTCGACAAAAACCCTCTTTACAAAAATACGTCAATGAAACATGATTTACAAACTGATTTCTTACAAAGAACACATATAATATTCATACAAATCTATTGTAAAAATCTTGCATTAAATAACCCATTGAGGTTGATATGCCGTAAAACAAAGCAAACCAGCAAACTGACTGTCACGGTAGCTATATTGGTATTCGTATACTTGTAGCCCAGCCTCACATTTTCGACATGCTACTCTCTCAGTCAGCAACAACAACAATAATAATAATAATAATAATAGCAATACCAAAGACAACCTTGTTTTGCTGCTCAAATATGTTCTTTCCAAACTTTCATATTCTCCATCCCTCGTCAAATTTAATCCGTAAGGAAGAGAGAGGAGCGGGAGAAAAAAACCTTCTGATTATATAATGTTATATAACAAAAAACACGCGTATACATGAAACTTTAAGTCGCATATAAACAGAAAACTTTAAGTATCACCCCCAATATATATATATATATATATATATATATATATATATATATATAGAGAGAGAGAGAGAGAGAGAGAAGAGAGAGACAGAGAGATTTGTATATGGCTACAAGAAGAACCTTTCACATTAGTTCCTAAATAAAACGGTGGATTATTTAAATGCCATGTAATTAACCTAATGAGCCCAAAGTACAAATCGTTGACGTATTGATGAAATAGTTGCTCTACGGTCTTTCCTTTGAAGTTAGTCTAACGACCAATATTATGTTTAATTGCACTAAGATGCTATCTGTTATAAAGGTTGTCATGTTTTGCGAATGCTCAAAATAGGTTTATGTATTAACATTTTGTTTCTTTGGACTATGCCAGGCTAAGTAATCCCCGTATTAAAGTCTATTATTATTAAACCTTGAATATTTCAATATTGCCGTCATCATCATCATCATCATCATCATTGAATGTTGATGAGCTGCTTCCAATATTTCCCAGCCACGAATTGTGGGAAGAGATTATTCTCAGACATAAGTTGAGGCCATTTAGAATTGTAACATTACAGATTTCCTTTTCCAAACGAATACAGGATCTTCTCTGTCAACGTCCTTTCGGCGATCATGGCTCTTCGCAGCTTCCTATCTCTTATGAACCATTTTTTTCCCGCCATCCATTAACAGAAGCTCGTCAGGTAAGTGGCTCGCCACCTATTTCTCTTGCCTCTTACTCTTATATGACTTGTGAGGGTTAAATTTTCCAAGTCCCCCCCCCACCAGCTCCTCGTTATGTATACAAGGAATTTCAGCTGTTTTTGTTTTTTTCCTGATTCTGTCGCCATTTTCTTTTTGAATATTTTGTTGTTTATTCGCTCCATTCACTGAATTTGCAGTATGCTTCTGCAAAACCACAATTCTGCTGCATCCAGTTTTCTTCTCGTTCGTGGGGATGTAGTATAGAATAGAATTGGCCTGCCAACATTTGACATGACTATTCTTGGTACGAAAGCAAGAAATTAAGTCAGTACGTTGATTTTCCATAACTTATATTCGATTATTATTATTCACAACAGAAATGCTATGTTTTTAACCTAGCATCTGCTTTTTAATTGATTTCAAACAATTTTATTTTCATTATCTCTGATACAGGTATTTTTGAGCGAGCCCACGTCGCTACCGAATGTAACACAAGATAGACGCATTGAACTAGCGAAAGATGTCTTTCAAAAGCTAAGCAAAGTATTAAGAAACATGTAAATTTCGTTAGAAGAAAAGAAAAGAATACTAAACTTATGTAATATCGGCCCTCCTCTATGGCAGCAAATAATGGATAATTTCCTCACAGATGAAGAAGAGACATGATACAATAGAAATAGAGCTTTACAGAAGGATACTAAGAATCCTAAGGCCTGAACATGTGTGTAACAAGGAAGTTTTAGAGAAAATGGAAACAAAAAGGACACTTAGAATGAGAAAGAGAGATTTCTTGGACGCATAGTGTGGAAAGAAAACATATTGACGGTAAGAGTAACGGAGGAAAGGAGTGAATAACCCACCACTGTGAGGTTGCTTTTCTTTGACTTCTCTATGAATGATATCATCGTGATTGTTCCGATGAGTTCTTCATTATGGTACCTTGACTTTTTGAATTTAAGCGCAGTACTAGACTGGAGTCGAGATCTCATCGATTTAGCGTTGAGCTGACTAGATGTAACCGTACATTTTATGCTAACAGTTACTTTTCTCGCACTTCTAGCTTGTGGAACTCCCTCCCGGCTCCATGCTTCCCAGCCAACATTAATCTGTAAAAATCTAAATTCCATATACTTAATTAATCTTTTCTCTCTCCGCTCATTATTAATATTTCTGTTCCTAATTCTTCCACGCACAGTAAGCTGTGGAGAGCCATGACCATCCACGTGATGACGGGACACAGCACATAGAAAACGAATAAGAAGATATACACGTGTTATTGAATAAGGCCAGCATGGCATGCATGTCAGGTGCTGACAAGTTAGTAAGCATTCTGTTTGAGGTCGATGGGCGAGGAGTTCTCAGACTCACTAGTAGGTCTGTCATCACAATCAAATGCGTAAAAATATCTACGATTGAATCTGCTGAAGATGTTCCTTTCTATGTTATCAGTTTTGTCTAACAATGCCAAATTGATCCCAAACAAGGCGGAAATTGGTTGATTGGAAAAAACGCATTTTGTGCCAAGCTCTGAATATTCGATAACTATATAATAAATTAGAAAGACAAAAGAGATTATAGAATATAGTCTCTTATTTGAGATGATTTAGTATAATAGTGGATGTGTAGGTTGTATAACGAATAGCAGCTCGGAACGCACAAATGACCTTGGGAAATCTATGAATCCCTGAATATCTCCAACTATGGGTTAAATAGTAGGACAGACTAGGCCCTTCGGCAACCACTCTATCAGAAAGACAACTCTAAATTCAAAACCATAAACAGCCCCATGCAAATCATAAGAGGATCGTGATTTTACAATGACTTTATAATCCTGACTGCGGGTTGTATTTGGGGAGGTTTGTCTAAAAGTTTGTGTCTGATTTAAGAGGTACAGTGGAGTAATGGATAGCGGCTTGGATTGAGGAATCGGAGAGCCGAGTTCGAATTCCAGTCAAATCCATTACATTCCCTTACGTGCTAATACCCTTGGAAAAGATATGAATTCTCTTCTTCTCCCCCCCCCCACCAGCGATGGGTAAATAGTAGGACAGACCGAGTCCTATAGCCTTTGATGGCAAATGGTCTACGGCAGAAAGAAATGGCAACCTACTGCCTCGTCAGTCATGTATCGAAAGATACATGATCGCCTAAGCATGTATCACACATGGCACATAACTGACTTTATGATTTAAAATGTTTGGGCCCTTGATCTCTTCTATAATACTTCGTTAATTATGTATCACTCTTACTTAGAGTGTTTGTTGCTGTCTGTTAAAATATGTGTCTGTACGTCAATTTCTTAGTCTGAGTTGCGTGGATTTGGCTTATAGTACAGGCCACTCAAAATTCTCTCTTGCGTTTTAATCGTGCTACATGGTTCGTTGTGCCTATATGACCTGGAGTATTGTCCAGGGCTTGATGTATCTGTAAGACATTCACAGAAATGAATGAAGCAAGAAATCATCTTCAGTACTAAATGATCCAATTTCCTATTTTGTATCATGCAACTGATTCGTTATTGAAAAAAATTCAAAAGAATTCCTAAAAACTCTATATCAGTTAATGTGTCTGGCCATAACGATGTTAAATAACATTATTCAGTTCATAGTTTTTTCTTCCTCTCTCGGGTTGAAATGTACTTCATCCTTCCTCACATGATTTATTCTTTTTTAATAATCAGTCAAGTCCCGCTCACATTATCATCCAATCCAATGTATAAGTTTCACTAAAAGAGTTAGGATAATACTGGAAAAAAACTATCATTTTTACCTCATAAAGAATATAGTTCTATTTGAGAAAATGCCAAAATTTATATGTTGAAGACATTATCAGACTTGCTACCTTTCATGTTTTGGTTAAATTATGATTTGGTTTTTGTCTGTCCTCATAAAACATCTAATTCTATCAATTTATTCGTTGAAATATCGAATAGATGAATAACGAAATATGACGAAATAAAACTCCAAACCCATAAAAATTGCAAAGGGTTATTTTGTATCTATTATATTTTCTTCTAGTGTGTGTGTGTGTGTGTGTGTAATCACTTAAAAGATGAACCAATAAGATATCTTTGGTAACTTCTCTTTCGAATATTTGTGACGTATTTGTGTTCTAAAAAGCGACATGAAAAATGTATTGTTTCTAAAATCGAATTAATGAAAATTAATTTTGCCTGGTCACAGACTTCGAATACATTTGCAAATTGACAATTTTTTAAAGTTTTGTAAAAAGTATTTGCACTGGTATGTCTCAGAACCTCACAGCTAAAAATAAAATTGTATGTAGTTGGAGCATTGTGAATTATCAATTTTTGAATGTCGTTATTCTCCAATCAGTAAAGTCCCATTAAGGATCATGATATTACTATATGTAGATTATTATTATTATTATTATTATTATTATTATTATTATTATTATTATTATCCGTCTCCTTCCCCTCCTCGTTCTTCTTTTCCCCTCCTCCTCCCTTTTCTTCTTTTTCTTCTCCTTTTTCTCTTCCTCCTTCTACTGCTGTTCCTCCTCCTCCTCCTCCTCCTTCTTCTTCTTCTTCTTCTTCTTTCTTTTCTTTTTCTTCTCTTTCTCCTTCTTCTTGCTCTCCTCCACCTTCTTCTTCTTTTCTTCAAACTAGTATCTTCACAGTGTTCTTTATAGAACGTCCTATTCTTAATAGCTCTAAGCAACAGTAACAGAAATAAGATGGAAGAAATATTTGTCACACAACGACAACAACAACAACAATAACAATAATAATTTACCGTTTGGCTTGTATTCAGCGAAAAGTGGGATGGTTTATATAAATTTAAGGGATATGGTCACAAAACCTACAGATAACAATGTACTCGGAAATGTTCCCCTTTAATAAAGTAAAAACGACTAATAATGTTTACAGGAGAAACAGAGACTCTGTCCCATCGATGTTAGAGTCCGTAACATTTAAAAATCTATTTTCCTGCCAAAACCAGACATTGACAGTGCCTGTATTTTCTCTCGCTTTCTACCTGGCGCGAGAAGGTCGGCTTCTTCTTTATGTCACTGATAAAAAGAAAAAAAACTTCTTTATCATGGACAACTCTCACAAGCCGCTTGTTCCAGTATGTCTTTATCTCAGGGGATCTTGCCGCAGATTGTTCCTGCTATTTCATGTTCTTTCCGACGTTTTTAATTTCGCTGACTTATATTCGTTTCTCTCTTGATCCTTAGACATATAAGAAACCCTGAAATGCAATACTCTCTCAGTCACTCGCTACACCGACCCTACAATCTGACTGAGTCTCACTGGCGCCATTGACTAAAGGGAAACTGTTGAACAATATTTTTTTTTCTATCGATAGTTTCCGAAGGACTTTCTTGTTTTTGGAGAAAGCAGTTCACTCGCGGGAGATCAGATAAAAATATTCCCTCCAAAAGATATGATTTCAGTTTTGATAGATGGAGTTTCAAGAGATTTTCCTTTATGCACAACCTCGAATTTAATTTGGATGTGTATGTTTATGTGCGTGCAAAGAATATGACAGTAAATTCTGGAACAAGAAACGAAGCTTTAAATTTATTTTATGGACAAGGAAGCTCTTTTATCTGCATGATTGATATAGTTTCCTTTTAATTCCAAACTTGTTCATCTGTAAATGGTTGGCAGTGGCAATCTCTTTTCATTTCTCATATATATATATATATATATATATATATATATATATATATATATATATATATATATATATATATATATATATATATATATATATATATATATCGTTTGCTTTAATTCTAACTGATGCATTGATTTATTAAGGCAGCTATATACTCCGATGAGGTTAGGTCCGCTGCACAAAGAGGTTTCAGACACTTGAGAATGTACAACTATTAAAAAAAAATCTCTGCAAACCAAAGCTAACCGAATAAAATATTAAGACATTCAAACTAATTACTTAGCCGTTGTCAGATCCAAAAGGAAAGGAAAGTACCAACAAATTTGGATATCCATTTATTTTTTTAATCGTCAGACATATTCTTCATTGCCAACTTGGAAATGAAGAAGTTTTATGAAATGATGTTCTCTTATCTCATGGGCCAGTGATTTCCAAATTCTGATGCACAAAGAGTCATTGTTATTAAATGCAAGAAGCAAGTCGCAATAGATATTCATCAAAAAGCTAAAGAAAAGAAACAAACGTCTGTCAGTCTAACGAACAAACCGACAAAAGAGAATTATAATAAAAATCAAATCGTATTGCCTTTCTGATATTAACCAAAATGGAACTTTACAGCGGCATAAAACATTGTAACTGGCATGATATTTTTCTTTTTAAACCTTTCGACTGAAATATCACTAGACTATGAGTCTGATAGAAAGATCTTCGTCTAAATTGTGAATAAAGGTTGCAGTCTTGATTCAATGTATAACCGATTTCATGCTTAATACTTTCTTTGTATAAGTATCTTTTATGAGGTGTTCAATTTGAATTTTGACAATAATTTTATCCGAGGATGCCATTTTACTAGGGAGGTTAGCTAATCCCGTTGCAGACTCCTGCTCAGGCACATTTATATTTGTTCAACACCCACAGTGCACACGTGTGGCTGAGCGGATCTTAGTTACTGTTTTTTTTTGGGGGGGAGAGTGCGCGTTATGTAGCGTGATCAACATTCTGAGCAAGGCCAGCACGCTCAAACTCTCGGTCACGATGACTTGTGATTTCCTGCTAACACAACCATTGACGTCTATCCAATTTAACTCACAAGGCTTGGGTCAACTCGTGGTATGCCCAAAGGTTCCGTCTACCAAATTTCGCTCAACCCGACATGGTTTTCAGGCACTTTCTAAATGTGCCGCGTGCTAGGATCACCTCCTTCTGACAAATAGATCATGGTGAGAT